TTTCGCAAGCGGCTGCACGGAGCTGGGGCGGGTCGCTAGTATTTATATAAGCAATAGTGTCATCTAAAGAAGAACAGTCATCTAAAACTATTGTAGGTATTAGAACAGAGTAATTAAGATATTTTAAAAGCACATAGGTACTATTCAATACTTATTGCAGTTTTATTGATTATAAGTAACTGCTCACAATCAGTTACTTTTGTATCAATACCTGTAAATTTAATTAAAATCGGTACATGATGCTTTAAAGTCATCGGACACAAAAATCACAACTCTTACGTTAATTGCCGCTAAAGCGAGAACGTAATCGTAATAATTTACTGGTATAAGTAGTGACGATATTGCAATAATTTAAGTTTGTNTATCCGGCTATAGCGACCCAAATGATTAAGAATAACATTTTCGCTCATTTTTCTGACCCAATTCATCGTTCTTTTTCTTTTTCTGTTAATAAACATATACAATTTGTAGTTTTTCTCGGTATTAAACTAAATAACTCACCAAAATCGAAAATTGTTTACTTTCTTAGATTATGCTTTGTATGACGCCCGCTTAGTATGACGTGTTTGTCATTTCCCTTCGACGTCATTATAAGCAGATTTTACTGTATAACCCATTTCAAGTTAGAATAACCGTAAAGTCATTTTCATCCCTGCAAAACAATATCAAAAACCAAAAATTTTATTGTTGTCAAAGTGCTTAAATATTCTTCAAACGTCCGTTAACAAATCCTAAAAGAATATTAGGCGATTATGCTATTGTAATTCCTGTTTTTTAATTGTTAATTAAGCTTTTTTATTCTGATGATTTTATTATAACTAAATGACGATGTACAAGGCATTTTAACTATTGTTAACTATACAAGTCAAAAACAATATCAAAAACCAAAAAAAGTACAGAGTTTACACAACTGTAGTATACGCATATAATTTTTTTACACCTGAACGAAATCGGCATCAAGAAGCTCACATTATCAATCACATTATAAGTGCCTTTCCAGCTCATTGAACTAAAGCGAGCCGCTTCCAATGTTGGTAATATTTTAAACGTAGGTAGGTACCTGTACATAATAAGTAATGCTTTCTATATACATCTACTACATGGCAGTTACTTTTGGCGAAATTACGAGTCCGTCACTCACGACGGCGCTTAAATGTATCATAAGTATACCAATATTAAAAGAGTAAACAATTTCAGTCAAGCGAATAACATCGAAGTTATTGATGCGCCCCGATCTTTTCGCAAGCGGCTGCACGGAGAAAATGAAAAAGGAAAACTTACTTAAATATTAAAGCGATCATTACAATTTATCCCACTATCCCGTTGTTTTGTAAGTGAAAATGATAAAAATTACAATTTGGACTCGAATTTGTAGTAAAAATAGAATCCCAGCAGAAATAAATTTACTAGGTATTTTAGTTGACAAATTTAATTGTAATAATTAAAAAACTTCAAATAATTTTTGAAAAAACATGCCAAAATTGAGATTATTACAAGTTACCTAATAAATTCTACTGTTTCTACGGCAAATTCACTCATTTACAGTCGAAAATTATAATTTTTGCGTTGTCATACTTTAATTTTCTCCGTGTGAGATGCATTGCACGCATTATAATGCGACCACAAAACTGAGACTTTCTATGTACACTGTTAAAGAAATAGTTGAAGTTCAAATCGACCAATGACAATAATTCTATAAATGTTATATATATAAGTCTTTCGATTTATTGTTATGGTGCTACGCTAAAGTCAAACGTATTCGGCCAGATATTATCATTTTTAAGGATATAATAATCTCGCTTCACGATACCAACTAGAGTTGGTCACCCATCCAAGTAGTGGCCAGAGCGGCCGTTTCTTAACTTTACCTATACCTACTGATCCGCTATACTGCGCGACTATTAACTAAACTTAATATTCATTATTATTTTGTTCTTACGTTAACTGAGTGTTTAATAAATGATACTTTACGAAGAATATTTTTATTTTGCAGATCCTGAGGGCAGATAAACCTTTGACGCATGTACGAGACAGGGTAGACAGGTGAGTTTCATTTAAATGATAAAGTTTCTTGGTCGAAAACATGGCGTATTTCCATTCGCTCCTATTGTACCTCAGGGAAATCATGCGATCTGAAAGCTGCTAACAGTTGGTAACACATCAGAAACAATCGGTCAATTAAACTTTCGCAGTGAGTCAAACAGAGAGGATGTTCCCTACACAACTTGTAGACCTTTTAACTAAAACGTAGTAGGCACTAGTACAACATAAATATAAGAGGATTGGAAAAACGGGCTAGAGACGATGGGGCAGGAAAAGGATGGTAAACGTGGGGGCGCATCCATCCTACTGACTTTGAAGTAGCAATTAACTCGTAATGGATAGATTCCGTACTTCGTTTAGTTAAGTTCGTGTAGCTGATGATTACGATAGGTTAGGTCAGGTTCGGTTCGGTTGCATCCACTTTGGTTTGTTAATACGAACGTGGGTTGTAATCAAGTGGCAGATAAACTAATATACCTACACGATGCGTAAATAACATTGAGCACATGCTACTCTAAAGTTCAATCAACAACAATCCTTCAGGAATAACAATCTCGTTTATAGTACAGCAGGTAGGTAACAGCTTTCAACTATTAAACTCCAAGATGGAGCAAGTAGCTTAATTAAATAGTTAGGTAACATTTATGTATGATATGCCAAAAGAGATTTGAAATATAAGACACATACGTAGAAGAATGCACAGTTTATAATAGATATAAAACGCAGAAACCTGTGGACAAAGCGGGTTGGAATAAAAACAAAAATTTATTAAATTAAATATTCCTAGCGTTTTAAACTTATCTATTATTAGATCTTGATCTATACAAAATAAGGTGACGATCAATCCGGGCAATGTTTTCATTCAATTACATCCAATATGGGATCAATTTACTCACTGGTTCTTTTCAATCGTTCGACAACAGAGGCGTCTAATAACCTGCAAAAAATGGTACCGGTTATAATCTCTTTTTCTGTGTCGAATGTCACGGTTGTTCGGTCATCTCCTGATTCCTTCTTTTGAAAAGCTGTCTTGGATCAATAATGCTCATGTTGCGAAACGCGTCACGTCCAATTACTTTAATAGGTGAACATTACAAACGTGAAAACTTGTCCGTCTATTGTGGAGGTGTCACACGCAGCTGACTGTTCCCTTTGAAAATTGCAATCGGCCCGGCACGGCATCGAAACGGCTCAGCCACGATTATTATTACCTTTTGTTAGATGGGAAAAGAACTCTACTATAGTAGAAAATTAAACGATGAGAGCAATCCTGTCAAATCGTCGTCCACTCGAGCACCTCGTGGCGTTGACTCGAGTGCGGGAAAGAAAGGAGCAATTATATCAACGGTCGCACGCCACTGATACGTAATTGAGGTTATTTGAACGACTTCGAGGATCTTTTGTATTTATCCGGTTTGATATAGACAGACAGGCTCTTTCACCTTTTGACAGTCGAAAGTTTTCTGAACGCGTAAACGCAATATCTAAGAAATTTTACAGTATGTTCTTAATCTTCGTGGGCGGATGGTAAAAATCAGTTATCAGATTGCAAGAACACGGACTCCGGCTGCAACTAATATCGGTAACCGACGATGGTTGTTGTTCGTCTTTTTCTTTTGTACCTTTTTGTCAGATGCTGAGACGGTGAATCGTCCGGGGATCAATAATGCTCATGTTGCAGGACGACTCACGTCCAATTAACTTAAGAGGCGAACATTACGAACCAAAAGTTCCCTCGTAATGCTTTAGCCCGTTAGTTCATTGTCACCGTGTCGCTCGCAGATGACGGTATTCTCATTCAACGACGCATTATTAGATGCACGGACACGTTGTCTAAATAACTGTAACAGAACACTTAATATTTATTGGACGGCACCATGCTTACATAACATTCTATCATCGAAGGAGCGCAGAAAGTATTGAGGGGGACTACCGCTTTTAGTTCTTGATCACAAAATCGAAACTACCAAGATGTGGATCTCAATGTCCATCTCATAAGTTCTCAGGAACGTCCCGAGATAAAAATGTTCAGTCTCTCAGAGTCTTTAAAAGCGAGACTCGAGTCTCCGTCTCTCATCGAGTCTCTCTAGTGTCGCTGAGAGAGACTGTCAAAAAAATTGTTTAGCGTCTCTGAACGAGAGACTCGAGTCGCTCATAGAGCGACATCCTCATTTCGTATCCAGCCTCTGAACGGGAAACTCGATGTGGTGTCTCGATAGACATGGTTAAAATTTTCGAAGTTCAACATGTTTCAGAGATCCCAGTATTTTTAGGAGAGACTCGAGTCTCTCAATTTTCCACTTTTATTCATTCAGTCTCTCTATGAGAGACTCATATCTCTGAATTAACAATTTTATCGTTCGAGTCTCTCATACAGAGACTGTGAGAGATCCATAAAAGCACCTAGGCAATAACTGAGAGACTGTGAGAGACGCTCTCAGAGACGCCGAAAAACTCTGAAGGATTCTGAGAGACTGGACCGCTGATAGAGAAGATTAGATATGAAAAGGCATTAGAAAGGATAGGAGAACAGAGGACTCTATGGAAGTCAATAAGAACTAGGCGAGATAGGTTGGCAGGACACCTTCTCAGGCATGAAGGTCTATTCAGAGACACATTAGAAGCAGGAACAGAAATAAGAAGGAGTAGAAGTAGACGTAGATTAGATTACTGTAAGGATGTGGGATGTTCTATCTTTAGGGAAATACGAAGATTAGCTCAGGATAGGAAAGAGTGAACCAGTCTTGGGACTGACGATCTTATGATGATAATAAGTATATAACTATTACATTTTTTTGTCAAGTATTTTGTTGATATGAGGACTTATAGTTAGTTTTTCACCATTATACAAGTAAATTCACTTCTTCAGTCTAATTGCCGTTATATGTATATTACTTTGATCATATTGAGAACCTTTGGTTTACTTTATTTATATTTGTATGTACCGTTCGTACCTTGTGCCAAGTTACAGACTAAATAGTTAATGAGTATACAAATACCTTAAGAATTTGAAGCAGTTACGGCAGAACGTTACTTTGAAACGAAAAACAAGTGAGTTGCGATCTTGTAGAGTCATCCAAAGTCGTCAGTGATGAATGGCTTGCAGCGTTTGTTTTAGTTTTGTTCATTGGCCACCGGATTAAAAGCCGTCGTTCATACGCACATTTGTATCTGTTCAAAATATGATTATGACAGGCGTCGCTGTTGACGGTGTTTCGCGGTGTTGGTTTTTTTGTTGGTTTCTTTTCGCCGAGGTTTATTCTGGGCGCCGTTTCCGGCCCTTTGCGCCTTCGGTTTGTCATCAGTTATGTTAATTGCCGGCATTATTTTCGAACGCTCGCACGGGACGCAATTCGGTCCCGAAACAAATTGATCTTAATTAATGCTCGCTAATATTCGAGGGTAATAAATTTGCATGTTGTGTTCCACGCCGAATGGACTTCGAACGATATGAATATTGGGAGTAATAAATGCTGCTTTAATAGGGGTATTACGGTAAATTTTCCTTAATAAGTGAATTTCCTAACGATAATTTACAAAGAAATTACTATCTCCTAATTTATATGCCTAAATTTTGAATTAAGAAGGTTGCTATTTATAGAGGGTGATTTTGAGTTACTAAAATTATGACCTTAGGTGGAAATAGTAGTTGTAATAGGTAAATTTACGATAAATTCTGGACTGCATGGGATACTGAAAGAAGTCAACAAAATTCAAGAAATGAGCAACAAAATATACAATTTATTTTTCAATGTAGTCCTTTCGTACACTAAAATAAAGCTTCTAATAACGTATGACAAGCTATTGTATTCCATCATTCATGAATTTTGGTGTTTCAATAGGATTTAAGTATTCATATCTGCCTTTACCACATTATTGATGGTGCAATGATAATATTTAAATCTCTTGTTGAAGTAGAGAAAGATACAGAGGTCAGACGGAGCCAAATCCGAAGGGAATGGCGGATGGTCCAATGGTTCAAACTTCTTTTTATTACAATTTTTAAGGGTAACTCAATTTCTTGAAAATATATGTCTAACTAATTAATTAGCAAAGTGTATTTGATCTAATTAATTTAATATCGCTTTCCTTTTCCATATCATGTTCAATACTCTCTTCTAGTACGTAGTGTGATTCTTGAACGGGGACAAGTACAGAAAACATAAATATAGATCATTATGCGTTAATTTTTAGAACTGTAATTACAATATTAACTGGGTTTGGCTACTGGACAATAATTTTGAGAACTTCATCTGCTTCACCTTATAATTACTCATTATTACCTGTCATATAAATCTTTAAAACTTCATTAAGTTCGCACAACCAGCTCCATCCTTTAAGGATAATGAACATTAATAAGTTTATGTATATCTCAAACCATTGTGTTCAGGAGTCTAGACAACGGCGCGTTATAATTAAAGAAAAACAAGCCTATACGTAGATTAACTGTGTTGTGTAGTCGACATAGAAATCGGTGACATGATGAATTTCTTGAGCATATATTTCTGTGTACAGAACGAGAAGTGTACAATAAGTCGTAATTTACTAAACAAACAGACAAGTGTTGGGATTGGGATTATTACAGTAACAGGTGAGTTTGACGTGTTTCGGGTAAGATAAATTAACTGTAAACTACAGTAACTTTTCTGATTCGTTAACAGGTGCGTTAAGCCTTAGAACTTACATTATCGACCATTTTAAAATTAATATCCTATATATTAATGCAAGTACATACAAAAGGGTTCCTTATAACTAATAGCAGCTGGATATATAACTGGCAATAATAAAAATAAATGTTAAATATATGCTAACATTCAATATTAAACGTTAAAGTAAAACTGCTACAAATAAATGAGGGAAAATTGTTGCTACTATCATGTCCCCGCCGGGAATCGAACCCTAGCTAAAGTAATTTACTATTAAGCTACATGAGGTGATGTAATAACAACAATAGTGTTCATTACTGAATATTAACCTCTTCAAAAACATTTTCGTGCAAA